AAGCTACTACTTGGGTAACATAAAAATAGGTTGGACAAATATAAACTGGAATGAGGCGGCTTGTTTCAGTGTTCACTCTCTGTGCTTTGTGTAGTATAACAGGAGAGACTATGTGATGGCAGGGTTTACTGTTTTCAGGAGGATTCTTGCTAAGACTTCGGAGATGGTGAAGCATCGACTCCAGGTTGAGGGACTGATTACCTCATTCTCCTCCTCTCCTTACGCCTTCCTCTTTGTATTGGACTGATGAAGCCACTGCGTGGCGAAACGTTTCCTGAATAAAGATTCCCATATGCTGCATAAGTGTCTCAATCTTCAACATGTCGGTTTTTCAAACCATTCATCACAATTGTTATTTGCTGTTGTAAGTTCTGAGGGATTGTGTTTCAAAATGTGTTTATATTAAATGTATATCAACCCTTGTTTAAGGGGTTTTTATGTTAAGCTATGTATTGTATTTTAAATAAAATATAAAAAAAAATCCATAATCTCAATGTACTACTTGCAAACAAATAAAATTGATTGATTGATTGAATGAGTGAACGCCCCCGTGGCCCGGTCCATGACCAGGCGTACCGGTGGATCAAAGTCTGATTAATCAGACTGTTATTGCTGGTCGCAATAACAATCTGATTGATCATGGGTTCAGAGTGATCAGGAACTTATCTTGTTCCCTCTTGAAGAAAGCAAGAAGTATATTGGTGATCCCGTTTATGTAAGATGAGAGGCTGTTGAATAGTTTTCTGCCCCTTATATTTAATAAGTGGTCCCTCATTGTACTCATGGGTCTCCTGCTCTTCACTGGAGGTATATTACACCTTCGACCAAATCTCTTGTTTTCGTAGGGAGTGATTCCTGTGTGCAGATTTGGGACCAATCCCTTTAAGATTTTCCAGGTGTAAATTATTATGTATCTTTCTCGCCTGTCTTCAGAAGAGTACAAGTCAAGAGACTTCAAACGCTCCCAGTAATTAAGGTGCTTCAATGAACGTATAAACGAGCAGTGAACGTTTTCTGTACGTTATCTTAATCTGTAATTTCTTCTGTCTTTATTTCTAGGTGCAGGTTTATGCCAGTGGTTGGTATAAACCGTGGTAATAAATACCGACAAGTTGGTTTAGAAAGACACGTAAGCAAACACTATGACATATTTATTAGAAAACGTTTCGGTCCTGGGTTAGAAGTGATCAAGGTCCCAGGACCGAAACGTTTTCTAATAAATATGTCATAGTGTTTGCTTACGTGTCTTTCTATGCCAGTGGTTACTTAGGCAGTTAGTGTTAGTTACCATTTTGTCCTAGGCACATGTCGATTAGACACTAGGCCTGTTGATATGTGTATGTGTGTGTACTTACCTAGTTGTGGTTGCAGGGGTCGATTCATAGCTCCTGGCCCCGCCTCTTCACTGGTCCCTACTGGGTCACTCTCCCTGAACCATGAGCTTTATCATACCTCTGCTTAAAGGTACATGGAGAAAATTTCTCCAGGAGGGGGGTATCAGCCCCTTCAGCCCCTCTCAGCCTTTCAGCCCTCTGAGGGTCTCAGCCCTCCAGAGGGGCTGATGGCATCTTGTTTCTGCATCTGTGCATCAACACTGTGTGTGTTAGTTGTGTGTAGTGGTTAATACACAGTGTGTTGTGTATTAATACACAGTGTGTTGTGTATTAATATACAGTGTGTTGTGTATTAATACACAGTGTGTTGTGTATTAATACACAGTGATTGTATTATTAATACACAGTGTTGTGTATTAATACACAGTGTTGTGTATTAATACACAGTGTTGTGTATTAATACACAGTGTTGTGTATTAATACACAGTGTTGTGTATTAATACACAGTGTGTTGTGTATTAATACACAGTGTTGTGTATTAATACACAGTGTTGTGTATTAATACACAGTGTTGTGTATTAATACACAGTGTTGTGTATTAATATACAGTGTTATGTATTAATACACAGTGTTGTGTATTAATACACAGTGTTGTGTATTAATACACAGTGTGTTGTGTATTAATACACACAGTGTTGTATGTTAATACAAAGTGTGTTGTGTATTAATACACAGTGTGTTGTGTATTAATACACACAGTGTTGTATGTTAATACAGTGTTGTATATTAATACACAGTGTGTTGTGTATTAATACACACAGTGTTGTATGTTAATACAGTGTTGTGTATTAATACACAGTGTGTTGTGTATTAATACAGTGTTGTGTATTAATACACACAGTGTTGTGTATTAATACAGTGTGTTGTGTATTAATACAGTGTTGTGTATTAATAACACAGTGGTTGTATGTTTAATACAAGTGTGTTGTGTATTAATACAGTGTTGTGTATTAATACAGTGTGTTGTGTATTATATACAGTGTTGTGTATTATATACAGTGTTGTGTATTAATGCACACAGTGTTGTGTATTAATACAGTGTTGTGTATTAATACAGTGTTGTGTATTAATGCACACAGTGTTGTGTATTAATACAGTGTTGTGTATTAATACAGTGTTGTATATTAATACACACAGTGTTGTGTATTAATACAGTGTTGTGTATTAATACAGTGTTGTGTATTAATACAGTGTTGTGTATTAATACACAGTGTTGTAACTGTTTAATACAGTGTTGTGATATTAATACAGTTTGTTGTGTATTAATCACAGTGTTGTGTATTAATACATATCATGTGTTGTGTGTATTGCTCTTATCTGTATTATTTCTGTACTTCTGTATAGAGTGCTCAATTGTGAAATAAAAATAAAATAAAATAATACAGTGTTGTGTATTAAAACAGTGTTGTGTATTAATACCAGTGTTGTATGTTATAATACAGTGTTGTGTAAAAATACAGTGTTGTGTAATTAAAACAGTGTTGTGTATTAATACACCAGTGTTGTAGTTAATACAGTGTTGTGTATTAATACAGTGTTGTGTATTAAAACACACAGTGTTGTTGTTATCAGTGTGTGTATAATACAGTGTTGTGTATTAATACGGTTGTGTACAATACAGTGTTGTGTATTAATACACAGTGTTGTGTATTAATACACAATGTGGAAAATTACATTTATCTGAATGTATCATTATGTACATAACAGTAAATGAACGAAGATAATTATTATTGATCAGTTAGACAAGTAGGAATTTGGGACACCTAGGTCGCAAAAAATGTCCCCCTTCGATACCTACCACTGTCATATCCACAAGTTGCTCTGGGCCTATTAATTACAAATGAAATGTATAAATTTGTGGACTGTATATTAAAATTAAAAAAGGATTATATATACACACATTTACATAACAGAAAGAGAATACCTTAAAATCACTCACCAATTTGACTGGAGATCAAGGTGTATCATACTCAGAAAACCTCACTGTCTATACATGAAAATAACACTGGCCAGAGTTATAACATAACAGACTTATCTGAGGTTCCTGGAGCTGTCTTGTCCAGTCGTCTGATATCTCAAGTTATGCAGGAATACACATTCAACAATTTCGCCTCCTATTTGAGAGGTGTCAGCCCAATTTTAACCCTAGAGCACGAAAATTCTTCCCATTACACTAACGTTTTCTTGGCTCATTCAAAACACAATGGCGAGTCCCGTCTGTGCAGGCGCAGAATTTCCCATTTTTTATAACATAATTTTTATTAAATACAGTATGGCCATCTATTTACATATAACTACTGTATTTCTGGAAAATATATACAGTATTTTCCACACCCAACACATTTTCTCTACATCTCGGGAAAACTGAAACAATATTATTTGGCTTAAAAAGGTGCCAAAAAAAGAAAAAGCTAAAATATTTACTATAATATTGATGGAGATAGATAACTTTAGTGATGTGTTTATTAACATTTTCTGAGTGTTGCTTCTCCCGGGAGCTAAAACTCCCGGGACCCTGGAAGATGTTGTTTCCAGTTCCTGGACCTCATAGGATGGTTGAGCTATAGCTCCTAGGTCTCTTACGTTCACTGAGGGTGCTAAGATGATAAGATTTCGTTCGGATTTTTAACCCCGGAGGGTTAGCCACCCAGGAAAGTCAGTGCGTCATCGAGGACTGTGTAACTTATTTCCATTGGGGTCCTTAATCTTGTCCCCCAGGATGCGACCCACACCAGTCGACTAACACCCAGGTACCAGGTACCTATATGCTACCTATATGCTGCTAGGTGAACAGGACAACAGGTGTAAGGAAACGTGTCGCAATGTTTCCACCCCGCCGGGAATCGAACCTGGGCCCTCCGTGTGTGAAGCGGGAGCTTTAGCCACCAGGCCACGGGGCCTGCTGGATGGGGATGCAGAAGATATCTTTATGTGATCACTGAGATACTGTTCCTGGAGATACCTGAGAATGTCTCTCTTGAATCACGCACTGCTGAAATACATCTAATTTCCAGTAAGTTTATTTAGGTATAGTTAGACGTAAGTATACATATTATAATAGTAAATTACCTGGGATAACCCAAAAAAGTCAGACAAAGTGACTTATTTCCATTATGGTCACACACAGGATGCGACCCGGTATCTATTTAGCGCTAGGTAACAAGGGAAGCAGGGTCAAGGTCACTTACTGTAATAATTGTAGAAAGTTACAATATTATTTAGTAAACACATAAGTAATTTTATCCTGAAAATACAATCAATGTTCGCGCGACTATTTTATCAAAAGATGCAACTCCCAACACACTGTGAATTTTTAAACCTCCTTTATTTTCTGTCATAAGTTATTCATAATAGGGGTACATGACGTAATTAAATAACATGTATGATAATTCAAGCAAATTATTTTTCAAACAAATGAAAATTATTACTTTATACGCGTAATAAATGAAAAAAAATAATGCTTTCTGAATGGTATTTTTAAAAACTTGCACGAAGGTACTTGGATGATTTTCACAATCAGATTATTTTAGTTACGTCATAAATAAATTCAAGAGAGAAACAAATAATTGCACTTAAAATAATTAAATATTTTATAAGATGTTGTGTTCATCCCGTCATTTCCTTTCAAGAGAGCGAGGCGGCGGAGCAGCGTGTGACACAACCAATATTGCTGATTTTTTCCACATAAAAGTCAGTTTGTTGCTTATTTTTGACACTCTGTGTGTCATGCAATAGATTCTTGATGATGTCGAGACAGTATCAACGCCCGGAAAATGCTCTTAAGCGGGCGAGTGGTGAGTAATAAGGTGGAATATTGTCATGTTTAGAGGCCATGTTTATGTTGGGTCCAGCTGCCAGGAACCTCACACAAAATGTGCTTCTTAATGTGCTTCTTAATGATCTGGACTCACCCAACATATCTTTAATTATTCTTCGTGTTGTAGATAGAGTAAAAAGTTTCCTTGGGAATAGCCATTTGTAGACGTGTCGTGGGTGGAGATTATTTAATCAGTAACAGTGATTTTATTGTCAACTTTTTATTACAGTCGGTTTATTTTGGTACATTTTTCAAGATTTCTGGATAAGAACACAATAATAAGGAATATTGCAGCAGGCCTACTGGTGCTTTGAATGAATGATGGTGAAAGTATTTGTTTCTTTTTCAGTTCGTCTTACCTCAGTGGGGGATAACTGTCTGGATTTTTTTTTAAATTCTCTAATTTTAGCAGTGACACTTGTAGAGAATGTTGCTTGATGTGGCAAAGGTGTTAAACAATTGTTTTTTATTTCTGTTCATTCACCATGATACTGTGATGCTTCTGCTTGTGTAATAAATAAACATTATTAGCTATACATCAGTAGGAGCCTGAATAAATATAACTTTATACATTTTCAGAATTCATTGATGTTGGGAAACCTAATCGGGCCTTGGAGGTCCTTTATGAGGTCATCAAACGAGGCAAGATGCGCAACACTTACTCTGAGAAACTCCTAGAACCTATCATGTTCAAGTATCTGGAGTTGTGTGTTGACCTTAAGAAGTCTCATTTAGCCAAGGAAGGTCTCTACCAGTATCGAAACATTTTCCAAAGTGTGAGTTTATTTTAATTATTTTCCTTGCTTTAAAAGGTAGCACCTTCAGGAAAGTCATTGATATTCCACTTGTGTTTTCTGCTGCATTTGTGCCTGTCCTCGGTAGAGTTACATACAAAAGAATGGACTTGTGTAGGAGTACATTATCAATATATTTAACTCCCACATATATGTAATATTAATTTTTATGGAGCTTTAATTTATGTAAGCACGTAATCACTAATTATTGGTGTTTATCAATGTTTTAACAAGTGAAGAAGCATACTTCATAGTTATAAATTTAAAAATTTCTCAGGTAAATGTATCATCCTTGGAGACTGTCGTGCGGCACTACTTATCACTTGCTGATGAGCGGACAGAAGCTGCGCGGAAAGAGAGTCATCAAGCTGTTGTAGATGTAGATGATCTGGATAACCTGGCAACACCAGAAGAAATTCTCTTGTCTGCTGTATCAGGAGAGGATGCTCAGGTTCGTTTTGAAAGCAATAGCATGCATTCATTTTGTAGGTACATCTCGTAAATTTTATTTGACGATTTAATACATATACTGCATTCATTTTTACTTAATGACATATATTTATTGGTGTTAAATATAGTGGATAATTATTTATGGTATGTGGGAAATGGGAGCTGCTGCCCATTGAGAAAATGGTATAGTGTAACAAGTCTTTGATATTTAGTACTAAGCACCTGTACTTGGTAGAATACAATGTAATTGGAAAGACGATGTGAATCAAAATGTACTAATGATGTGGGGGCCAAAGACTTTGTGAAGCTTTTTTTTGTAGCAAAGATGGTGGAGGCAATGAAATTCTGTTAATATATTTCCTGATTGCAGTATTATATAGAGAATATGCTGTTTATGTAGATGGGTTCATACGTTTTTCAGGTAATATATGATAGTATTGAGAAACTGCTAATGATATAATGTACCAACAAGCATTTTATGTACTATATATAAAATGAACTGTGTAACACTAATATTTATTTTTTTTTTTGCGTCATCCTTAACAGGACCGTAGTGACAGGACAATCTTAACACCATGGGTCAAATTTCTTTGGGAGAGTTACCGGCAGTGTTTAGAACTCCTGCGTACCAACTCTCGTGTTGAACGACTTTATCATGATATTGCTAAGCAGGTATGAAATTTAAGTATACATTGTTAAACATTTACAGTTGTATTCAGTATATGCTTTGCTGTATTTTAATCCCCAAGAGTGCCCTAAACATCTGTGATTTTTTTTCTTTATTTTCAAGGATGAAAATCCTGATCTTACCTTTTACTGCGAGGTGTAAAAATCTACAATAAATATACAGGTCAAGTGCATCATTTTACAGCATTGTGCTAAAACTCAGTGAAGCTTGCATAAACATTACTGTCAGCACTATTTCCACGTATAACTTTTTGTAAATTCATTTTGGCATGAGCAGGTAAAGCATTGAATTTACATCCTAAATATATTTGAGACTGGGAATTCTTCGGAAGAAGTTTGAACACACTTTGAGTATTAGAGATCAAAGCAAACATTCCCCATTGTTTAAAATGTGCAGTTGTAGTACTATTATTTACAGTTTATGCATGGTACTTTGTGAACAATATTACACACTAAATGCACTTGTTATGCCCCATAATCAGATGTATTTAAGTATGAGATGTATTTAAGTTTTTTCACTGTTGGTATGAACACAAACACGGTTTTGCGAATAACTTCTGCATTGAGTTATGGATAGGGTTTAAGACACTAGAAAAGTTCCCTAGTGTACTTTATGCAACTCTGCTTTTCGTTGATTACAGTTTGGTCGGTTATTTGAATTATGGTGTTTGTGTCCCTCTAGAAAAACTTGTGGGAAATGAAAGTAAATGTATTTTCTTTGTGTCTCCTTACCTTGGTTATAAAAAGTGCCTCACCTAATTATGCTATAGTATTAACCCTTTCAGGGTCGAGAGGCCCTCTCCTAAACTCGTTCTCAGGGTCGAAAATTTTTCGGAAAAAAATTTATTTTTTCTCATGAAATGATAGAGAATCTTTTTCCGATCATAATGACACCAAAAGTATGAAATTTGATGGAAAACTTACGGAATTATGCTCTCGCGAAGTTAGCGGTCTCAACGATGTTTACGTATCGGCGATTTCGCCCACTGAGCCCTATTTTTGGCCAATTTCAGTGTACTATACTAGTCGACAAAAATCATATTTATTTTGCTAGAACTCCATTTTTTCTATCGATTGAGTACAAGAAACCACCCATTTACCGATTTCAAGTATCCAATAAAGTGGTCAGAAATTGGCAATTTTGCCAATGTCACAAATTTCAGAAGATGCCAATTTCCAAATAGGGTCCAGAATAAGCAAGACAGACATTCCTGGCACTAAAATAACATTTTCTCTGTTCATTAGTCACGTCCCCAGGCCCCTCTTACATCTCTCTTGCTTTCCACTTTGAATTTTTATTATCACAAAAAATAGAAGATTTACTGTTATACAGACTACTGAATTAGTGTAGAAGTGGTGTAGAAATGGTATAAATAATATCAGTGCACTTGTGAAAGAATATTAGACGCGCCAGTTGATGTGTATTGGACACTTGGCATGGTTTGTTTACTTTTGAAATTTGGTAAAAATTGAACCTTTCTGCTACCTTGAGCTCAATTTCAAGGTACTTTTCATTATGAAACCAATCAAAATCATCTCAATTTCTGTAATATGTCTTCCATTCTATAAAATGAGACCAAGAAAACTAGAATACAACCATAAATACCATATGAAAATACACTGCAAAGTCGCTGTTTTAAACCAAAAACACTGCTGGAGTTTTTTTTTTCTCATGCACTGTGTGCTGCAGAATTTTTTTTATACTGTGAACACTGACCACATAGACCCATTCTTTCATATGTAGGCCTACCAGCTTTCACTAGATTTGAAGGAGCTAGAATTTAGGCGTTCTAGTACGCCAATAACCCGGGTGCGTAAGCCGCACTAGTACATTGGAAACTCTGAAAGGGTTAAAAATCACTTGTAGAAATGAGACATTGTGTGAGACTGGTGAATTAAAATACAGTATTCTGATTTTAATCCTTTCACTGTCTCTTACATTATTGGCTCCATCATTACTCATGTAGATCTACTTTTTGAGCTCAGCTCCCTCAGATATGATGTGAGCAGAAAATTTTGGCCTATCACAAAAATCAAAAATCTTTGAGAAGGTTCTAAGAAGCAAGATGGCCAACCACCTAGTTACCCATCAGTTACACAACCCAGGGCAACACGGGTTTAGAGCAGGTCGCTCCTGTCTGTCCCAGCTACTGGACTACTATGACAAGGTCCTGGATGCTGTAGAAGATAAACAAAATACAGATGTAGTATACACAGACTTTGCAAAAGCTTTCAACAAGTGTGATCATGGTGTAATAGCACACGAAATGCATGATAAAGGAATAGCGGGAAAAGTTGGTAGATGGATCTACAACTTCCTGACAAATAGAACACAAAGAGTAAAAGTAAATAGAGTGAAGTCCCAGGCAGCCACGGTAAAAAGCTGTTCCACAAGGCACAGTACTCGCTCCCATTCCATTTCTAATCCTCATTTCTGGCATAGAGATGTAAGCTCAAGCTCCGTGTCTTTCTTTGCGGATGACACCCGGATTACCATGGCAGTTACCTCCATCGAAGACACCGCCAGACTCCAAGCGGACATCAGCCAAATCTTTGAATGGGCCACTCAAAACAATATGAAGTTCAACGAGGAGAAATTTCAACTACAGTGGACCCTCAGTTAACAATATTAATCCGTTCCAGAGAGCTTGTCCTCAACCGATTTTATCGTTATCCGAATTAATTTTCCCCATAAGAAATAATGGAAATCCAATTAATCCGTTGCAAACACCCAAAAGTATTAAAAAAAAATAATTTTTTTTACAGAAATATACATTTCCCTACACAGAAAACAATGAGACATGCAGAATAAATACATAAATAAATGTTAAAATGACACTTACCTTTATCGAAGAGTATCGATGAGTGATGAGACTTTTTTTTTTTATTTATTCGCTGGTATTCTCCCGGCCTGGGTCTTTTCCAAGTAGTGGTGACCCGGCCTTGGCTCCCTATCTGGGGAGTGTCTCGAGACTTAAGTGTCCCATGGGAGGAGGTACAAGTACCTCCTCATCTTTGGGACCAAGTGTCCCCAGGCCTAGCCACATTCCCCGCCCTCACGGGGCTCGTAGGGAGAAGCTAGGCCTCTGGTCTATCATCTGCCCCGCCCCAAAGGGGCTCGTGGGGATGGCAGTCTTATGAGCTGCAGGTGGTAGCAAGCTCAGGCTGTTGCTGCATTGATGAGACTTTTTCTTGAACACACTGGGATTTTCAGAGTGATTCACGAGTAAAGACTTCACTTTGCAATCCCCACTAGCATTACAACAACATGAGAGTTAGCCTGTCTTTCATAGGCTTGTGTCCTGGGAGTGCCTTTTCCTCCTGAGTAATGTAGGTCTTGTTTGGCATTTTCTTCCAGAACAGGCCTGTTTCGTCTCAATTGAACACTTGTTGAGGTTGGAATTTTTCAGCTTCGCCATGCCTGATCACACTGTGTATGCCACTATGATTCTTAAATCTCTCAAACCAACCTTTGCTGGCCTTAAATTTACCAATATGAGCACTAGTTCCAGGCATTTTTACCTGTTCACCTGGGTGTTAGTCAACTGGTGTGGGTCGCATCCTGGGGGACAAGATTAAGGACCCCATTGGAAACAAGTTAGACAGTCCTTGATGACGCACTGACTTTCTTGGGTTATCCTGGGTGGCTAACCCTCTGGGGTTAATTGTTTCTCGGATAATTGTTTCTCGTTAAGCCACACCAACAACAGTCTCCCCACATCTTTGAGTAGTATTTGTGGTCTCTGTTTTGTAAGCATATTTGCACCATTTGCAACAACAGTTTCCTTGATTACTTTTTCCTTGGCCATGATAGTAGTTATGGCTGAATGGGGTTTGTCATATAACCTGGTCAACTCGGAGACACAAACTCCACTTTTGTATTTTGCGGTCCCTTTCTTCAGTTCAATAGTATTTCTTACCCTCTTTACCACAGGACTGGAACTAGAAGATTTCTTTGGGCCCATGGTGGCTTATTTAGCAGTTTACAAGCACTAAAAACAATGGAATAATACAAAATATATTGCATGTACACGTGGAATCGTCTGCACTGGCTTGTAAACAATAGCACACTGGAGTGGCCAGGCGGCCTGGGCAGCTAAGGCCGCACAGACACATTCTGGATGAATGTCCTTAACCAAGTTTTTTATCGTTAGCCGAGCCAATATTTTGACGCAAAAACGTATCGGTATCCGATTTTATCGCTATCCGATGGCATCGTTAACTGAGGGTCCACTGTACTCAGATATGGGAAACTTGAAGGAATTAAGTGTGTCAGGGTATAAGACAAATTCTAACCATACAATAGAGCGGAAAAGTAATGTGAAGGACCTGGGAGTGATAATGTCAGAGGATCTCGACTTCAAAGACCACAACAATGTATCTTCCTCATCTGCTAGGAAAATGATAGGATGGATAATGAGAACCTTCAAAACTAGGGACGCCAAGCCCATGATGATTCTCTTCAAATTGCTTGTGCTCTCTAGGCTGGAATACTGCTGTACACTAACGGCCCCCTTCAAGGCTGGTAACATTGCAGACCTGGAGAGTGTACAAAGAACTTTCATGGCACTCATAAGTACAATAAGGCACCTAAACTACTGGGAATGGTTGAAGGTCCTTGATCTGTATACCCTCGAATGCAGGTGAGAGAGATACATGATAATATGCACTTAGAAGGTCTCAACTTGAGGGATTGGTACCAAACCTGCACACGAAAATCACTCCCTATGAAAGCAAAAGGCTTGGCAGGAGATGCAGCATTCCCCTGATGAAAAGCAGGGGCGCCACGAGTACACTGAGAGACAACACAGTAAGTGTCCTGGGCCCAAGACTGTTCAATTGCCTACCAGCACTTTACGGCTATTTCTGCTTTACGGTGGTGGCCTGGAACCTAACCTGCCATGTAGTGACATTGAGGGGTTTTCTGGATTTTTTTTTTTTTTTTTAATCATTTGTTAGAATGGAAGACATACTACTGAAGTAGCTTGAAACTGGGCTTAAATTAGTGGAAATGTGTTTTCTGAAGATGGGCGAGGCCCCCCGTCTCTGGTCTATTTTATGGGTTTTTATCTGTCCTGTTTCAGTTCTTTTATTATCCAGGATTTTGTATGATGAATTCAAAATGAAGTGCAAGTGTAATATAAGGGTGGGCAAAGGAAGTGATTAATGAACAGAGGAAATGTTGCTTTAGTGGCTGGCTTGCCTACAGTGTTTATTTTTAAATTGATTTTAAATTGACTTTTTTAATTTGTGTAAAATTGGCCAAATTATTGAATTCTGTGCAGTTTAGAGGGTAATTTTTTTTATGGTGATTGAATGAGCTGTTTCTTTTGCTCAGTTGATAAAACGTAAGGCATGCTAGTGAAATGTCTAAAAATTTGGTCGAGCAGAACAATAGAATTGACTTAAAAAAGGAATCAAATATGGTGAAATTGCCCATGCATAAATTGCACCCAGTCTGCAACTTTGCATTTATATAATTCCATAAGTTTTCCACTAAATTTCACATTTTTGTTGTCATTACCTCTAGAAAAAGATTCTCTACCATTTCAAAAGGTAAGGTTGACACTGGGAGCAATATTAATTTCAGGAGTCTGGACAGTCAAAGGGTTAACAAGCAGATGTACAGGTACACCTAATAAAGTAGTCACTCAGTGTGTACACAAAAAAACACATTCATGTATTCTCACACATGTACTTATGCAGTGATGCATATCCAAGTGTAAAAAAATAGTACATGTAGGCATAAGTACATTCATACATCTGCACACACAATTCATACTTGTATTCACATGTACACAATACAGTGGTCCCAGAAGTTGTATTGCAACTCAGACCCCAAAATGTGTATCTTTTTTTTTGGCGCTTTGTTTTTTAAGACCCAGAAGTGCATTTTTTATGCTCATAGATACAACTTGCAGGCACTGCCCCTCGTGTCATATGGTACTCTAATATCAATAATAACAAAAATACTGCCATCTCTATGATAATTTCTCTGCCGTTTTTCACTAGCTTAGATTCGTCAGCCACTTTAATATCCTTTATAGTGTCTTTTTTTGCTTGATAATAGAGATGGTTGATTGTGGAAATCCATACTCACACCAGTACAAAAATGTGTGTTTTTTTTATTTTGGTACTTTGTTTCAAGACCCAGAAGTGCATTTTATATGCTCATGGATACAACTTGCAAGCACTGCCTCTCCCGTCATATGGTTCTCTCCTATCCATAATAACAAAAATACTGCCATCTCTATGATAATTTCTCTGCCTTTTTGCACTAGCTTAGATTCGTCAGCCACTTTAATATCCTTTATAGTGTCTTTTTTGCTTGATAATAGAGATGGTTGATTGTGGAAAGCCATACTCACATCAGTACACTGATTCTAACTCATACCTACCCAGAATGTACATGAAGGTTGTTCTTAGGGTCAACGCACCCCACGGTTCAGTCCTTGACCAGGCCTCCCCATGGATCATAGCCTGATCAACCAGGCTGTTACTACTGGTCACATGCAGTCCAACATACAAACCACAGCCCAGTTGATTGGGCACTGCATCGTGTTTTTTCACTGTTTGATCTTAAGAGATTGCATGGTTGCTGTGCACTTCAGGGGCCATGATGACTTGGAAACACAAAAAAGGCATAATCAAATAAATGTGTATAATCTCAATTTTTCATTGCAACTTAAAGGAATTAAGAAAGCAAATTGTAACACAAAATTATCATAAATCCATTCCATCATAACTCAGGGATTACTGTATAGCGGTGTACATGTGCATACATACATACATATACACACATTCTATGAATAAATCTGCACACGCATCCAAAAAAACTGCATATGTAAATACTACACATGTATTCATGTTCATATAAATACATGTGTACGTGTTCTAAATACACATGAAAGTACAGTGGGACCTCAGTTGTTGAATGGACTAGTTGTCAAACAGATCGGTTTTCAAACAAGGAATTTGGTCCTAGTTTTCTTACTTGGTCTAGGTTGTCGACCGACAATGATGGGATCAAGTGATCACCAGAGTCCACAGCGTGGGTCTGTCAGTATAGCAACTAACGCACATGCTGTAAACATCTCTTGAGCTTTTGCTGTGCATCTTGTGAAGTTAATGAAGCCAAAAGTACGAAATTTGATGGAAAACTCGCAGAATTACGTTATCATGAAGTTAGCTGTCTCAGTGGTACAGTGGAACCCCGAGTTTCGTCTGCCCTGAGTGTTGGCGGCTTCAAGTTTAGACCGCTTTTTTCGGCTCAGATATGTCCCAAGTTTCGCACTGTGCCCCATGTTTCATCAAGTGTACCAGACCTGTCTGCCTGTCTGCCTGTCCACGCCTGCTTGCCTCCCCACGCAGGCGTTGAGAGTCAGTCTGGCTTTGTTTATCCTTGAGTGAACATTACCCTGTGCACTCATCCAAACATTTCACAGTTAATTCATTGTGTTTGGTGCTTGTTTATTAAGTGCGACTGTGAAATAAGCCATCATGGGCCCAAAGAAACTATCTAGTGGCACCCCTTTGGTAAAGAAAGTGAAGAAAGAAATAGTGCAAAAATATGAGAATGGTGTGCGAGTTGTGGAGCTTGCCAGGATTTATGGCAAAAGCAAACAACAATCACTTCTATCCTGGTGAAGAGAAAAGAAATTGAGGAAGCTGATGTTGCAAAAGGTGTTGACATGTTAATCAAAAGTAGATCACAAACAGTTCAAGAGGTTGAGAAGCTGTTGGTGGTGTGGATCAACGATAAACAGTTAGCGGGTGATAGTGTTTCGGAGTCAGTCATTTGTGAAAAGGCAAGGAAGTTGCACGATGATCTCATAAAGAAAATACCTGTAATGAGTGCTGATGTTAGTGAATTCAAGGCCAGCAGAGGCTGGTTTGACAGATTTAAGAAGCGTAGTGGCATACACAGTGTTGTAAGGTATGGTGAGGCTGCAAGTTCAGACAAACGTGCAGCAGAAAAATATGCGAATGAATTTAAGGGATACACTGCAGTGTACTACCAAAGTAGCACTGAATATCCAACAACATTGCTTCACTGTAGCATTAAGTCACTGGATCTTTACGGTCTGAGTGGAGAATTGTTTTACATTACTGCTCACCAACCATTGACCCTCCGCTCCATATACCCATATCTTGTCACATTTCATGTTTCATTGGTTCAGCTTTAGTGTTTCTCTGTATGGCCCATCTAAATCTCCTATGCTTCGCATCTTGTGTGGCACTTAAATATCCAGGGAACTCACTTTCACTTGCAGAACCCCTGACTCAGTCACTATCATAACACAGTCTTCTCACACCATACACATATCTACAAGTCACTTGCACATTTATGTTGACTGTTTTACAACTGGAACCTTCAGATATTTATATCTCTTTAAACTTATTTCCCAGGCCTTCAAGTTCTGTGAGAAGTACACCCGTAAAACTGAGTTTCGTAAACTTTGCGATAACTTACGTACACACTTGTCCCACATCCAGAAGCAGCAGGGGTCAGCGACTGCAGTCAACCTTAATAACCCAGAAACTCAGCAGGTAATAACACTAGCCACCTGATTTAATTAGTTTTAATGGTAATTATTTTTTATGGAATGGATATATACTATAGTGTACAGAAGAAATCGCAATAAATGTGTGATTGAGTACAAGATGGAGTTGAAATACAATTAAATTTTCTGAATACAGCCTCTCCTCACTTAGCGACATACTCTTTTACCAACGCCTTGGACTTAGGACAGGCTCTCTGACCAGTATGCGTACCTGAATAATGTGTATCAGAGCTGATTTCCTCTATTCTGTTGATTACAATATTAAGAGTAAGATGTAGAGTAGGATAGCAGATGAATAAGGAGGCTTTAGGAAATGTAGGGGGTGTTTAGACCAAGTGTTTACAGTGAAACATATAGGTGAACAGTATTTAGATAAGGGTTGAGGTTTTTGTGGCATTTATGGATTTGGAAAAGGCATATGACAGGGTGGATAGGGGGGCAGTGTGACAGATGTTGCAAATGTATGGAATAGGGGTTAGGTTATTGAAATCAGTGAAGAGTTTTTATGAGGATAGTGAGGCTCAGGTTAGAGTATGTAGGAGAGGGAAATTATTTCCCAATAAAAGTATGATGTGTGACGAGGATGTGTGATGTCACCATGGTTGTTCAATATATTTATAGATGGGGTTTTAAGGGAAGTGGTTGCTAGGGTGTTGGCAAGAGGTGTGAGGTTAAAAAGTAAAGAATCTAACACAAAGTGGGAGTTGTCACAGTTGCTCTTGCTGATAGCATTGTGCTTTTGGGAGATTCTTAAGGGAAGTTGCTGAGGTTGGTGGATGAGTTGGTAGGGTATGCAAAAGAAGAAATTTAAAAGTGAATGTTGGAAAGAATAAGGTGATGAGGATAATTAGGTAATGAGAGATTGGATATCAGATTTGAGGGAGAGTATGGAGGAGGTGAATGTATTCAGATATTTAGAAGTGGATGTGTCAGTAGATGGATCTAAGAAATTGAGGTGAATCATAGAATTGACGAGGGTATATAGGTGTGGTGCACTGAGGACTCTGTGGAGACAACTTTGTCCATGGAAGCAAAGAGGGGAATGTACGAGAGTATAGTTATACCAATGCTCTTATATGGGTGCGAAGCATCGGTGGTGAATGTTGCAGCAGGGAGAAGGCTGGAGGCAGTGGAGATGTGTCTGAGGGCAATGGGTGGTGTGAATATAATGCAGAGAATTCGTAGTTTGGAAATTAGGGGGAGGTGCAGGATTACCAAAACTATTATCCGGAGGGCTCAGGAGGGGTTGTTGAGGTGGTTCGGAGAGAGGATGGAACAAAATAGAATGACTTTGAGAGTATAAATCTGTAGTGGAGGGAAGGTGGGGTAGAGGTCAGCCTAGGAAAGGTTGGAGGGAGTGGGTAAAGGAGGTTTTGTATACAAGGGGCTTGGACTTCCAGCAAGCATGCGCAAGCGTCTTAGGAACAAATGGAGACAAATGGTTTTTAGGACTTGTTGTGCTTTTGGAATGTGAGCAGAGTAATATTTATGAAGGGATTCAAGGAAACTGGCAGGCCAGACTTGAGTCCTGGAGATGGGAAGTACAGTGTCTGCACTCTGAAGGAGGGGTGTTAATATTGCAGATTTATAACTGTAGTGTAAGGGTGCCTCTGGCAAGACAGTGATGGAGTGAACAGTTGTGAAAGTTTTTCTTTTTTGGGCCACCCTGCCTTTGTGGGAAATGGCTGATGTGTTAATGAAAAAAGAGTACACTACTGTATAAATATTTAAAAATATAACAAATTTTTTAAATGGTACAGAGGTGACATGAAAACAGTGTGAGAGATGGTTGACACAAACCCACTACCATTATACTATGCTCTTTACTTAGTGATGAATTCGTTTACTGACATGGTCTTAGGAACAGAGCTCAGTCATTAAGTGAGGAGAAGCTGTATTTGCTGTCTGATAATGAATGGTGCTTAAAATGAGAGAAATTCTCCACAATATATTTTACACCTTTTATCCTAGGCTGAGTTATCAGGCTCAATTCCTTAGAAGGCGACTATAAGAATGCATAACAGTATTTGCAGTTGCTGTATATCCTAACTGTAAATCAGTTACTTTCAACATGATGAACAAGAAGAAGAAAAAATTGTAGGGAACAGTTACTTCAGAGTGAATGTGACTACTGTACTGAATCAGAAAATAAAGATGGTTAGAAGAGTTCAAAAGATTGAACTAAAGGAATAACAAGGGATGACTGTAAGCAAGATTGGTTTTAGCTCTTGAAATATGAAATAGGTGTCCCCATTTCATAATAAAAGAGTTGCAAATTATCTTTGTTTAGACTGAATGGGTATGTGCGTTTTATATGTGAATGATTAATAAGACTCAATTTAAATGTTTAGTTTTAATTTGATTTAATAATTTATTTTCTTTTACAGATGAACCTTGAGACACGCTTGGAGCAGTTGACTTATGCTATCAAAATGGAGTTATGGCAGGAGGCTTACAAGGCCATTGAAGATATTTCAGACCTCATGACAAAGTCAAAGAAGATGCCAAAACCACATGTGATGGCTTCTTATTATCAGAAGCTCTCTCTTGTATTTTGGAAAGCTGGTAATATGCTGTTCCATGCTGCTGCCCTTTTCAAACTTTTCCAGTTGTTGAGAGACCAGAAAAAGAATATTACAGGTGAGGACATTGAATTAGTTTTGAGAGAGGAAGAAGTGGTATTTCTAGGTAATGATTGAGTTAACAAGAATAGATCTGTTTATTACAGTATTTGCTTCAAAAATTTGTGAATTTTTTCAATTTTTTTCAGCATTGTTCGTATGCTTTTTTAAGATGTGTGTGTATATTTTTAAGTTGTCAGCTAAAACAAATTTTTAAAATGCAAAAAGCTTCTCATTTTAGTAGAAAATTTCCTAATTTTTTGCTTAAGAGAATTTGATGGTGCATATCCTTTTTTCCATAACTTAATTCTAGACTTAACCGTTCGAGGGTCTGTCCCGTAGTTCTGCGGCTTCGAAGCCAGGGTCCAAGCCATAGTACTATGTCATGAGCTCAGCTTACTCAGATAAGCTGTGAGTGGTAAATTTGGGCCTAGATATGAGAGAGTTCATCTATGTGGTAAGTGTGCACTTTATAAAACAAATCCTGGAGCATGCAGTGCATAATGAGAAAAAAATTACTTCAACTGTGTTTTTGGATTACAACAGCGACTTTGCAGTTTATTTCCGTATGGTTTTTATGGTTGTATTTGCGGTTTCTTGGTCTCATTTGATAGAATGGAAAATATTTTACAGAAATAGAAATGATTTTGATTGGTTTTAGTACTGAAAATAGCTTGAAATTGAGCTCAGTGTATTGCAAATTTTGATTTTTGCCAATGTTCAGGAATAAACATCACATAATGCATCCAATTTATGTCAGCTGGTGAGTCTAATGTGCATTCACAAATGTGCTGATATTATTTATACACTAATTACAATATTGCATAACAGTAAATATTCTATTTTTTAGTGTGAATAAAAATCAAAATGGAATTCATCTGAAAAGCCTGGAAATGTAACTAATACACAAAGGAAATGTTATTTTAGTGCCAGGAATGCCTGCATTGTTTATTTTGAAATTTGAATATTTTGAACTTTGTGTGAAATTGGCCAAATTACCAATTTCTGGTCACTTGATTGGGTAGTTGAAATGGTTGATTGGACAAGTTCTTGTGTTCAGTAGATAAAATGGAAAACATAGTAGCAAAATAGTTAAGAATTTGGGCTAATGGAACAATGTAATTGGCCGAAAATAAGACTTAAAGTGGGCAAAATCGCAATGCGTAAATATCGCTGATAGAGCAAAATTTGCAAGGCATAATTTCATCGGTTTTTGATCAGATTTTTGTACTTTTTTTTGTTAGCTTCAGAAAGATTCTCTACTATTTCATAAGTTTTTTTTTTGAGAGAGAGAATTCTTGGACCCTGTGGGGAATATTCGGATTGGGGGTCTGGGCCCTCAAAGGGTTAATGGAGAAACTTCAATAAATCCAAAATTCTAGATTTAATGGAGAAAGTCCAATAAATCCAAAATTCTAAATTTAATGGAGAGAGTCCAATAAATCCAAAATAAATTTACAAATTGGACTAACTGTAATGTACTATTCTGGCTTTAACTGTGTCCTTTGTTTATTTACATTGTCAGGCCACAGAATTTGTCATTAAATCTTAAATTGGGGTCTGTTATATCTAGATTATGCTGTACCCAAAATTCCAATTATTCCCAAAGTCATTCAGATAAAGGTGTAACTAGTGTGTTAACATTTGAAATTGTACGAGAAATGGTTATTTTTGTAGTCATTCATGTATCTTTTCACTTTAGCTGAGGAAGTTGGGAAGCGTGCATCAATAGTGTTGATTGCAACACTCGCTATACCATTGCCTTCAGCTCATCCAGAGTTTGATAGATTCATCGAGACAGAAAAGTCAGCACTTGAGAAAATTGATAAGTTGGCAACCCTTCTCTCCCTTCCTAAACCACCTACACGTGTCTCCCTCATCAGGTAAGAGCAGAGAATTTTTACTTTTTGGATTTAAAATATGCATGGAGATGGCATGTTTGAGAGCATTGTGATACTTGAACATTAAGCAGAGACATTGGAGTGTGGAAATTAGAAGACGGTGTTGGGTTACCAAGTTTTAATTCAGATGGCTGAGAAGTTTTTAATCTCTAAATGTCCAAACGTAGATCTACGTTGTTAATGCTAGCATTCTAAACGTAGATCAACGTTTTATTTTTCCTGCCTCCAAATTTGGCACGTTTGGCTTGAGATGCCTAGTCAGCATAGACTCGGTGTGTGCAGTATTAAAAAAATCTGGGATCACTTAGTACGTTGTGGGAGCACCAGTTGAACCAAGCGCCAGCTAGAGTAAACAGCATGGAAAACACCAAGCATTCACTGATGTCATGTCCTATTAACATTACCCTTTTAACCCTTTCAGGGTTGGTGCCGTACTAGTACGGCTTGCACGCATAAAATCTAGCTCCTTCAAATCTAGCGAGAGAAAGCTGGTAGGCCTACATGTGAAAGAATAGGACTATGTGGTCAGTGTGCACGGTATAAAAAAAAACCTGCAGCACACAGTGCATAATGAGAAAAAAAAAAACTCCGACTGTGTTTTTGCTTTAAAACCGACTTTGCAGTGTATTTTTGTAAGCTATGTATGGTTGTATTCTAGTTTTCCTGGTCTCATTTTATAGAATGGAAGACATATTACAGAAATTGAGATGATTCTAATTGGTTTCACAATGAAAAGTACTTTGAAATTGAGATCAAAGTAGCAGAAATGTTTGATTTTTGCCAAAGTTTAAAAGTAAACAAATCATGCCATGTGTCCAATACACGTCAACTGGCGAGTCTAATATTTTTTCACAAGTGCGCTGATATTATTTATACCATTTCTACACTAATGCAGTAGCCTGCATAACAGTAAATCTTCTATTTTTTTTTGTGAGAATAAAAATTCAAAGTGGAAAGCAAAAGAAATGTATGAGAGGCCTGGGGACATGACTGATGAACAGAAATTTTTTTATTTTAGTGCCAGGAATGTCTGTTGTTTATTCTGGACCCTATTTGGAAATTGGTATTTTTTAAAATTTGTGTGAAATTGGCAAAATTGCCAATTTCTGACCACTTTATTGAATAGTTGAAATCAGTAAATGGGTGGTTTCTTGTACTCATTCGATAGAAAAAATGAAATTGTAGTGAAATAGTTATGATTTTTGTTGACTAGTACAGTGGACCCCCGCATAACGATTACCTCCGAATGCGACCAATTATGTAAGTGTATTTATGTAAGTGCGTTTGTACGTGTATGTTTGGGGGTCTGAAATGGACTAATCTATTTCACAATATTTCTTATGGGAACAAATTCGGTCAGTACTGGCACCTGAACATACTTCTGGAGTGAAAAAATATCGTTAACCGGGGGTCCACTGTACATTGGAATTGGCTGAAAATAGGGCTCAAAGTGGGCGAAATCGCCGATGCCTAAACATCATCAAGGCAGCTAACTTCGCAAGAGCATAATTCCGCAAGTTTTCCATCAGATTTCATAATTTTGGTGTCATTGCAATCGGGAAAAGATTCTCTGTCATTTCATATTTTTTTTATTTTTCCGAAAAATTTCTGAACCTGAGAGCAAGTTTAGGGGAGGGCCTGTCGACCCTGAAAGGGTTAAGAGGAAAGTGATGTTGACCCCGTGTTTAGTGGCTTTGAGGTGGATTTCGCCACAAGTGGTCGAGGAAATATAGAAAAACCTTGATAATAACAAATGTGCAACATCCTTTCAATTTTGGTACCACTGGTACTGTCATCCTGCCAGAATGTCCTATAACCTATGCCTTATGTAAAGAGAATTCTGGAATGTGTAATACATGTTTGGCAGGCTGGTTGGCTAATTGACTTTGGCTGTCTCTATCTCCGTCTTTGTCTGTATCTATCTCTGTCTATATATCTGTCTCTGTCTCAAAGGTACACAAAAATACAGTTATACATAGTGTAAATTACCTAGGATAACCTAAAAAATACAGACAGAGTGCTATACTGTGCTTGTAGATATAATGCATAATAAGCATGACTGGCAAGTAATACACATTTTCACTTGTTTAGGAATCGGACATGACAACTCTGCATCGTGTGTAATACCTGTTGGTTCATGAGTGGCTCTCTGAGACAGACAGGCAGACAGAGAGAGACAAGGAGACAGAGACAGAAAGACAGATAAGCAGAGACAGAGATGTAGATTAGTGGTTCAGAGCACCAACAAGTTGATAAATTAGACATGTGCAACACTGAGGTATCTTTAATGAGGAAACGTTTTGCCACACAGTGGCTTCAGTCCATACAAAGGAGACTGGTGAACAGGAGGAGTTTGAGGTAATCAGTCCCTCAGCCTTGAGTCAGTGTAATCAGTCATTCTTGAAAAAAATACAGCATATGTGCGAAGAAGTGGCTTATACACTGTAGGCAGGGGAGGTGCACCAGTTGTAGGTAGTATCACATTTGGCAAATGTAGAAATACAGTGCTTGTCACGGCATTCTGCCGGGTGAGCATCACGACACAATGCCGTGATGAAAAAGGCCTACCATACGGGGGGGGGGGTCTTTTTTCGTAAGTGCATTCTGATGCGATGCAGCCGTTAGCACGACGTTACGGCCTGCCACCACACTTCACAGTGATTTCTCATTGCTCACGTGGCTGCCGTGGTGAGAGGAAGTGTTGCACTTTTGTCTCTCATCTGCCCCCTCTTTCATCCAGTGTTCCCTTTGGTTTTGGGGCTGTACATCTTTGATTATGGGTAAAAGGAAGTCTTTAACACCTGAAACTATAGTTCAAATCATAGGGCTTCACAAAGCTGGGCACCAGACGAAAGAAATAGTGGAGAATGTTGGTGTGTGTGAGCGTTCAGCGAGGACCTGGTTGCAGAATTTCAAGGCTGGTGGCGGTGTCGAGTTACCTTCTGCCAAACCTTGGCCTGGCCCCTCGAGGAAGACATCTGTTCATACCTTAATGGATTAAACTCGCAAGTAGAGGTTCCACTGTGTTACAGTGGAACCTCTACTTGGGAGTTTAATCCGTTCCATGACATTGTTCGCAACTGGATTTGCTTGTTTGCAGAGTCAATTTTCCTCATTTAAATTAATTGAAATGCAATTAATCCGTTTTGGTGGAATTCTATACTTCAATAATTTCCCTAATATCAACTCGAAGGCTTATTTATTTATCTATCTCACTTCATCTAATATGACAATAAACAATATAAATAACATAGAAACCTGATATATACTCTAAAATAAATAAAATGTGTAATTCATGTAGTGGTATTGGCGGTGTCGTTGGTGGATGGGAGTTTGTCTGGAGACCAGACAAAATACTTCTTGAAAATTTTTGCTAATATCTGTACGGCTTATTTGTCTATCACAGTTCATCTAATATGACATAACAAACAATATAAATAACATAGAAACCTGATATATACTTTAGAATGAATAAAATGTCATTATATATGTGGCGGCGGCAGACGAGAGTTTGTTTGGAGACAGGACAAAATACTACTTGAATATTTCGCTATCATCAACTCTACGGCTTATTTATCTATCACAATTCATCTGATGTGACATAGCAAACAATATAAATAGCATAGAAACCTGATATATACTCTAGAATGAATAAAATGTCATATATGTGATGGCGGCGGCGGCCGACAAGAGTTTGTCTGGAGACAGGATAAAATACTACTTGAATATTTCGCTATCAACTCTATGGCTTATTTATCTATCACAGTTCATCTAATATGAAATAATAAACAATATAAATAACATAGAAACCTAATATATACTCTAGAACTAATAAAATGTCATTATATAACGGGTGGAGGCGGCCACAACCGCTCCCTCTTTGTTGTGGTAAACACTGCCATCTAGTGATGGCCTTTTGGAGCCGTCTTTTATTATAATTATCATCATGTAGTACATTATTATTATATATTACCTGGAGTTTACCTGGAGAGAGTTCCGGGGGTCAACGCCCCCGTGGCCCGGTCTGTGACCAGGCCTCCTGGTGGATCAGAGCCTGATCAACCAGGCTGTTGCTGCTGGCTGCACGCAAACCAACGTACGAGCCACAGCCCGGCTGATCAGGAACTGACTTTAGGTGCTTGTCCAGTGCCAGCTTGAGGACTGCCAGGGGTCTGTTGGTAATCCCCCTTATGTGTGCTGGGAGGCAGTTGAACAGTCTCGGGCCCCTGACACTTATTGTATGGTCTCTTAACGTGCTAGTGACACCCCTGCTTTTCATTGGGGGGATGGTGCATCGTCTGCCAAGTCTTTTGCTTTCGTAGCGAGTGATTTTCGTGTGCAAGTTCGGTACTAGTCCCTCTAGGATTTTCCAGGTGTATATAATCATGTATCTCTCCCTCCTGCGTTCCAGGGAATACAGGTTTAGGAACCTCAAGCGCTCCCAATAATTGAGGTGTTTTATCTCCGTTATGCGCACAGTGAAAGTTCTCTGTACATTTTCTAGGTCGGCAATTTCACCTGCCTTGAAAGGTGCTGTTAGTGTGCAGCAATATTCCAGCCTAGATAGAACAAGTGACCTGAAGAGTGTCACATGGGCTTGGCCTCCCTAGTTTTGAAGGTTTCTCATTATCCATCCTGTCATTTTTCTAGCAGATGCGATTGATACAATGTTATGGTCCTTGAAGGGTGAGATCCCCCGACATGATCACTCCCAGGTTTTTGACGTTGGTGTTTCGCTCTATTTTGTGGCCAGAATTTGTTTTGTACTCTGATGAAGATTTAATTTCCTCGTGTTTACCATATCTGAGTAATTGAAATTTCTCATCGTTGAACTTCATATTGTTTTCTGCAGCCCACTGAAAGATTTGGTTGATGTCCGCCTGGAGCTTTGCAGTGTATTTTATTATTATACGTATTATTATTATTATTATTATTATTATTATTATTATTATTATTATTATTATTATTATTATTATTATTAT